GAAATGATGGGATAGCTTTTAACGCCGATGATTGTTGTTTCTTTGTTTTTGCTATTGTTTGAGAAAACGCATTTTATCTCAGAAACATTATATACCTTTGGATCGAATTAGGGGATATCTCCTCGAGATAGTTATTAACCCCGATAACATTTTTGTAAACAAATGTTTTGCTTTTGTTTAAGAAAACGCATTTTATCTCAGAAACATCAAATTTTGGATCGAATCTAATTTAGGGGATAGTTCTGTTAGATAGGTATTCGCGCCGATGAACTTGTTTTGAGGATTGGGACGTACATAATTTTGCTTGTGAAAAATACACGATACGCTAATAGTTTGATCGGTATGATACCAGAAAAAAAAAAAAGACCCGACCGTTACGCACAATCAGACAATTTGATATCGAGCTCATTACATTAACCGCCCTGGTAACGTTTCAATAACGCGTCACGCTTTAATGCTCTCGCCTTGATAGAATATGGAATGGCATCAGGGGCGGCGATTTCTTTTCATGACTGGGGGGGGGGGGAAGGGATGAAATGCGAGGGACGAGAGGGCAGTGGCGTAATGAGCAAAACCTTTTTTCTTGGGGGGGGGGGGGGCAGAAAAAAATCTGTTTCACCACCACTCTTACATGTTACGCAGACCCTGGGAACGTTTTTCAAAATGGGGGAGGGGCTAAAGTATTTACGATCAGGTAGATCAAAGCAAAGTGGAGCATAAATTGGCGTGGGGTCCAGGGGCAAAGCCCAGGCGGGTGTCAATGGGCAGAGCCCCATGAAGTTCAGGGGTTTCAGGCATTTATTTACGGTCAGATGAGCAACCAGGGGCCCGCGGAGGTGAAGGTGACGGAAGTAACTACCCCCTCACAGGTTTTTGAAGTTTTGTTATATTAACAAATTACAGTCTTGGCAAAACTATAGTATAAAAACAAGCAATAAAATTTCAAACATCTTTTTTGGGTCATCAAATTGTACCGACCGAAACTTTTTTCGAAATAGACTTTATTTAATTCCGTGCTCACAAGTAGACCAATTGATATGAAAATTCTCATTCCACACCTGAATCTTGAATTTTGAGTCATCTATAAATTATGAAATTTAGAATATCTATGAGCGGCAGTGATTTTTAGAGAGGTGGGGTTTTTTTGTTTAGGGAAAACACTCGTTACCTTTTAAATATGTTGAGTGAATCGAAATTATGGGATAGCATTACGAAATATTGATAGCGTTTTTCCGGCGTTATTTTTGTCGTTGAAATGCACGTTACAATAGAAACAAGCTGGTATTAAGAGGCAAGATACATTAGAATCCTATGACGGAAGCTGATGAGAACCATTCTTTATCATGAATACCTACCCCCCCCCTTCTCTCGCTCTTTCTCTGTCTCTGTCTGTCTCTATCTCTGTCTCTCTGTCTCTCTGTCTCTCTCTCTCTCTCTCTGTATACCTTTTGACTGAATCCCATGACAGAAGCTGTTGAGATCCATTCTCTATCATGTGTACCGCCCTATCTCTGTCTGTATGTCTCTCTTTCCTCTTTTTTGTATGTAATTGGTTTGGGCATAATATAACACGACAACATGCTTGTGGGAAATTGTGTAGTATGTCAAGGGTCATATAAGCCCATGTAAAATAATAGAGTTATGTTGGCAAAAAGATGAAAATTGTAATTTTCCCAAGCTTAGTAATATTTTCTTTAAAAAGCTACACTTCTAAATTTAAAGACTCAAACCCACTCTATGAGACAAAAAAAGTCCTGCAGTGCTTTATGAGCTTAAAAAAAAAAACCAAGAATAGGAAAACAACTTTAAAAAAAAAACACTTTTCTTTTACTTAGGTACTAAGTAAACTTATCTGACGTAAACGCAATCAAATTAATTCTAGAATATTATTTAAGAGGCACTAATCTATTCGACAAATCTCACCAAATGACATATTTCCAGAGAAGTTTATGTTACCTCTCCGTACGTGTGGTAAATTTTGGAGTCGAAGTTATGCTACGGTCGCAAAGGTTCGTACGAACGATAATTTCATACGAATCTCCCTGTTTTTCCATTGTCTTCCCGAATTTCCATTGTCTGAAAATCGTTCGTACGGCGTTCGTAGCAGTTCGTAATGGCATTTGTGACCGAGGCTTTATCTAAACGTGTCCCGATGGACTGCTCTTCATTTCGCCTCGCAAGAATCTCAGCCATTTGATTGGACCCCAGTGTGTTGACGTCATCAACCATAACAGGAGCATTTGTAGAGTGTCTGGACTATTTGGTTGTACGGTTGTACCATAATTTTATAGTCGAAATGGTCGCCGGGAATTCTTGTAACGCGCGCCGGTCCAGAAGTCAAAATGAAAACTAAAATATGGTTCTAGGACACCTACCCCCTGGACAACCACCCTCCGGATAACCACCCCTAGGACAACTACCCCCTGGAAAACTAACCCCTAGGGTAACCACTCTCATTCATTTCATTTTTCGAGGATTCGAGGGGGCCTTTTTTTTTAGATCGTGGACAAAACAAAACCAGGGATGGGAGGGAACATAAAATCTGAAAGATGGGGTTTCTCAACTTTTCCCGATCTCAAGCTTTCCTCCCAACCCAACATCTTTCTCTCTCTCTCTCTCTCTCTCTCTCTCTCTCTCTCTATTTCTCTATCTCGATTCCAGGGGGCAATTAAGATGAGCCCTAGTGTTCGGCACGTGACCCTGGCACTTCGCCACTGCGACGATCAGCATCGCTAGACCTTGATCATACTCAGTCAAACCAAGGATTCTGAAAATTATTTTTGGTACAATGCGCAGTCCATTGTTATAATTATGTTACCTGGTAACCCACATACTATGCTACATGAAGGTTCAAATGATATTCAGGTATCTGAAACTATATGATAATGGTTTAGAATGTTTAGCACCATCTCCAACAATCCAATTGTAATCTCGAAGGAGGACCGTAATTTGACGCTAACTTGAATTTGGTAGCGCCGTTCATTTTTCACCTATGTAATTTATGTACAGAATCGTCTTTAATAGTTAAGTTAGTATAATGCTGTTTTGACAATGTAAATAATTGAGAATTTGTGCGATCTTTTTAGTATGTAAGTAGTATACTTAGATTGATTGTATAACGTAGGTTGTATTTTATAAGATTTTTTCTTCGAGCTTAACTTGATAATTGTATTTAATTAATTATCACAATCTAACCACTCTTGTCATTCATTTTGATCCGCCGGTTACGAGAAGCTAATTTGTCCCGCAATTTTTGAATCAGAGGCGACGAGAACCCGGCGCCGCGGGGATGGGACCTTCCTAGTCTTTTAGTCCTCCTCTCGGATTTGCACCTCCCCACTCTCAAGTTCAGTTTTCAATGACGTTTTCGTACTTCGTAGTTTTGCCTCGATTTGGCATTAATTAAACTTGATCTACAGACTTACAGTTCGACTCGATTCACTGCCTGGTTTATACTGATTTAGCTGTTTTTGGCTGGAAGCCTAGTTTAGTGCTGCTTCTGATATCCGCCATTTTGGAGTAGACCTACAGCTTTTACGATCTCAAGTCAAGTTGGATTTCGACATTCGATCCTTGTTTGTTGGGATCCTCACCACTCGTCAACGCCACCATAACCACTTTGAATTTTGAAGTTGGTGCGAATTCCAATAATGAATTCAAGTTTCAAGTTTATTTCACATTTCACAAATAAAAAGAATTTAAATAATTGACAAAAATAGAACATAATATGAAATATACTAAAAGTTTCAAATTATATAATTAATTATTTGAAAAGACGTCGAAATTAATTGTAATGAATAGAAGGTTATACAGAGTGAAATGTGAGGAACATATTAAAAAGCTTAGCTTGTAGATTATAGGTTCCCATAAATAGAACTAACATTTAGTTGAAGTAGTTGTAATGGTAGAGGACGTAACAGTAATAATAGGTGGGCAAGAAGCCTTAACATAAGATGATTATACAACGTGAAACAAGCAAAAAATGCAAAAATAGCTAATACAGCAAGCAAATTTGATATTGATATTATCGAATTGCGTTCCGTCTATCACCCCGAGCACCGTCAACGTCGAACTCGAACCTTACATATCCCGAGTCTCACCATCACCGATTGTGGACTCCGCATCCGATCGACATCGCCGACCCTTGCCTAGCCTTTTGACAAGGCCTCGTGACTCTAAGCGGCTGAGATGAGTCTAGATACCCGGAGTGAACAAGCGACCGAGTGACGGAACACTAGGATGGGCTCCTCGCTCTCGCGTTCACTTGGGTTTTCGCGATTAGTCTCGTTTTAGTCGCTCGGCGTCTATCATACAAGTGGTCTTGTTTAAAGGCTAACCCTTGCCTGGCCTGATCCTGACTTTTAAGTTGATCCTGACTCTGACTAATGATGACTTACGACGACTCTCGCTCCTTCGCTGGAAGGACAGTTTGTGTAATTACTATGTAGGCTAGACCTAGTCTAATTTGAATATGAGCGGCAGTCTTTCGCTATAGAAATAGACTAACCACTTTACTTATAATATATTTATTTGCTGAAAGTGTGCATTGCCATGTAACAAGCAGCAGTCTTTCGCTATAAAAATAGACTAAACCATCGATTCTGAATAACCATAATTTGTGAATAGAAATTCGTAATTTGTAATTTGTGAAAATGTTTGGAAATTTATACGAGCTAGATCGAGTTTATGTTTAGCTTGTTTTAATAAATCCTTTTAAATTGTAGGCCTAGGCCTACACATTGTTTCAATTGTTCTATGCTTGAAGCCTTGTTGTTCTCTCGCAAATCACAGTATTTTTTTTTTTAAATCAAGAATTATATTGGGACGTTGACCGTTGTTTTGATCATTCGAATAATGATCATGTCAACCCTTTCTAGTTTTTGCCAAATAATCATTTGCTCTACAGACGCTAGACAAATGAGATCGAGTTTTTATTGGGCGATCACTTTTAGGACGATGAAAACCTCAATCTGCTTGTCTGTCAAAGGTTAGTGGGAATTCCCAGAGCCTAAAAAGAGATCGAGAAGCTAAATACATGAATGTATATTACCACTTATGATCAGTGCACCACTACATTGTAAAGGCAGAGAGTATACATGTTCACTGATTTCATATAACACCAAGACCGATACGTAGTTACGGAAAAAGAGGTGAGTAAAATGTCTGTCATTTTCAAAAGAAATACTACGAGATTTTGCAATACTTTCGTTTGACATAGTCGTATATAATTATATTAGGCTGACTCCCAGACGCTTGTGAGGCTTTGTTGGTATCTTGGTTATAAAACCATTTTCCTTAAACTGAAACAGTTGGGTTTGGGCCTAGAATGGCTAGATATCTTTGAGGTGATTAATGGAGGCAATTGAGCTCAGACCAAGAAGATACTGACGGGCGTTCCCTATTTTCACGAAGTGACGGTAGTGAGGAAAATCGTAACGCAAAGTGAATGCAATTTTTTTTCACTACCGTCACTTCGTGAAAACAGCGACGAAATGATATCAATTTGGTAAACCATGGAATAACATACTGCAAAAACAGGTCTAAACAAAACAGAGCTTTGAAACGAGGCCATAAGAGTTTCGTGTTTTTGATCGTGAACCCGAAATATAGAAGGAATATGATCGCATTGATATCGTTCATACGTACAACTTCTCAGTATTTGTTTGTCGTGGTGGGGAGAAATCTTGGTAAGTTATTGTGATTTGAATAACAAATATGTCATTAATTATTATTCTTACATTTTATGTTCATATAATTGCACCTGATAAACATTTCCAATTGTAATCTGGAAGGAGATCCGTTCCACGAGACTTTGGCAACAGTAATTTGAATCTAACTTTAGATGTTTTTGTATTGGTTGGGGGGGGGGGGGGGGGGGGGAGGTAACAGATATATAATTTAAGTTGTACACGGGCAAATATTTGCTCTACAGAAGCCGTGACAAAATGAGACCGGATTTTTATTGGGGGATCAATTTTAGGACTATAAACCTCAACCTGCTTGTTTTCAAAGGTCGGTGGGAATTCCCAGTACCTAAAAATAGACTGCCACACAAAATTCATACATGTACGTGTACAGACTTTACAGTATATGCCTATTATTAGTGCAGCACTACATTTTAAAAGCAAATATGTTGACTGATTTCATATAGCACCTAGATATATACGTAGTGGTGGAAAGAGAGGTGAGTGAATTAAAATGTCTGTTTCATTTCCAAAAGAAATATGGTGAAATTGTCCCATACTTTCTTTTTACATCGACGTATACAAACTGTTATAGATAGATTCCCAGACACTTTTGAGGATTTGTTTGTATCTGGTTTATAAAATCATCGTTTTCCTTAGCATGAAATAGTTAGACTGGGTCGATCTCTGACAGGCGCGGATCCAGGATTTCTTAGGGGAGGGGGCCCAACTTTCTAATTTTGTTTTGCTCCCGAATATTTGAAAATCGCGCCGGCCGAAAAGTCGCTCAGTGGGGGTGGGGGGTGGGGGTGGGTGGGGGGGGGGGGGGGGGTAGTAAGCACATTTTTTTTTGGTCCTCCAAAATTTGCACCCCCCCCCCCCCCCCCATGAGCGCCAGGGAGGGGAGGGGGCCAACACCCCCAAAAAGGTAAAAATCACGTGATTCTACATGATTTTTTTCCTCAAGGGGGGGGGGGGGGGCGGACCCCCTGCCCCCCCCCTTGATCCGCCACTGATCTCTGAACACTTCACTACATAGTGTAGAATTCAGTGGTCTAGATTTCTTGGAGTGGATATATCACCGGACAGTATAGATCACAAGGTCCGCGTTTTAAGTCCCGCCGCGGCACTAATGTCCTTTGGCAAGACATTAATCTACATTTACCTCACCTCGACTCAGGTGAGGTAAATGGGTACCTGGTAGGATTACTCCTTGAAATGAACTGTGCGCTAATAACGGCTGCCGGAGCTAAAGCTAGGGTAACAACTTCCAAAGCTCTTTGGAAGCGCATCTCTCTTTCTCTCTCTACGTGCCATATCCTGAGACGTGGGCGACCATGGAGTGCCTCAACTCTCTGTCCCATATTCTATGAAGTAATTTATTCTCCCCGAGATCAATTCCACATTCAGAAATCCCATCTCCTTAAGCTACTCATCCACAGAATCCTCCTTCTACCCCCTTCTACCCCTACTCCTCCTCTCCTCGATTATTCCGGTCAGTGCAAGATTTTCCAAACTATTCTTCCGTATAACATGGCCCAAGAAGCTCAGCTGTCGACCTCTTGTATTATTCAGAAGCTTCGTCTTGTTCCTGCCATGGCAAATACCTCATTATTAGAAACTCTTTCTGTCCATGAAATTCTTAGCATCCTTCTCAGGAACCAAACATCACAACTTTCCAGTCGCTTTCTTAGGTCCGATGTCAGGGTCCAAGCTTCACATCCATACATTAGAACTGGATATACATAGCAATTGAGTACGCGGAGTCTCGTTTTCATCTTCAGCTTCTTATTCTTTAAGATGTTTTCTAACTTGGAGAAAGTTGTTGCAAGTGCAATCCTTTTCTTGATTTCTTGCTCGCCTCTTGCATCGTCTGTAATTGTAGTCCCGATGTAATTAACAGAGGTGGCTTGCTTTATTTGATTATTGTTGATCTTAAGAGAGCATGGTATTCCTCCCTTCTTTGAAATTACCATGCATTCCGTTTTCTTGTATTTTAATGATAATCATGTCTTGTCACTTTCTCTAACGACAACATCCAAAAGTCGCTGCAGGCCCTTCTCTGATTCTGCATTTAATATAGTATCATCTGCGTACCGTATGTTTGTGATATTATATCCTCCTACCCTCAATCCTCATTCCTGTTCTATGCTTCTAAGTATCAACTCACTGTAATAATTGAAGAGATCTGGAAGCGCATAGGGACGTTATATAATGTAATACGCGATACCCAAGAACGTACTGAATGTTAATATTATTATCATTAGGATTTGTATTCCTTTTCTTTTATCTCGTATTCCTGTAGAATTCGAATCATGGCTGATGCATTAAAGAATGCCATTGCTCAGAGTCTGGAATGTCCTGTATGTCTGAATACCTTCACCGATCCCAGGATTCTGCATTGTTCTCACACCTACTGCAAGGCCTGTCTGGACAACCTCTTGGAATGCCATGGTAACGACCAGATGCTCCGATGCCCTGTCTGCAGATCTGAAACCCAGGTCCCAAACCAAGATGTCAGCAAATTACCGGCTAATCTAGCTTTGAAGTCTCTCATAGAGGACGTAAAGAGTCAATATCAGTTTTGCACGAATTGTGAATCCGAGGACAAACCCCAAGCTGTTTTCTACTGTCAAGACTGCGGCATGTATCTCTGTATCACTTGCCACAACAAACACTCTCAGTGGAAAAATTTCATCAGTCATGAGGTCTTTGCAATGAGTGAGATCCTATCAGGGAAGGTGTCAGTACGTAGATACCGTAAATGCAGGAAACACCCCAAAGAGGACGAGGAGTGCTTCTGTTCCGTCTGCAGGAGATTTGCCTGCTTCAGGTGTGTTGTCATGGAGCATACAAAGGAAGGACATGGGGTCATCGAGGCAGCTGTTTACGAAGGCAACCATATGAAGAGTATCGAGGACCTTAAATCCAAGACGGACAAGAAACGCCATTCCTTTCAGAAATACGTTGATTTCATTGATGAACAGAAGGAGCGTGTGAGCAATGTTCAGAAGCAGTGTACAGATGATATCAACAAAGCATATGAAGAATCAGTCCAGCAGTTGACAGAGAAGAAAGAACTCCTCATTGGTGAAGTCAAGGGTAGGACTGAAGAAGTAAAGAAAGACCTAGACAAAATGAAGAAATCGGCACAGGAGCACATCACTCACTTGATCACCGTAGCTGACGTGATAACCACTAGAACAAAGATACCGTTAGATATGGATGCTTTGGCTGCACACGACACTCTATGTCAAGACTTGCAAGAGGCTTTGAAACAAGAAGATCCTGACTACAAGCTGCCGAGGCAATCGAGCAATAAAGGAAAAAGTGTCAGTTTCAAGAGGAACGTTGGAATGGACGAGATAGCTCTCGGTAAGATCGTAAATCCAGTTGCAAAGAACATCGCCTTGCCTACTAAGAATAGCATGAATGCCATGGTTAGTACACCTGACGGTAGGATGGCAGTGGGCTGTGCTAAAGGTGGCGTGGAGATCTTCTCTGCTGATGGCCAGCTCCAGCAGACAGTTTTTAAACATCTGGTGATTCGTGGAGTAGGGTTTCTCTCTGATGATCGGTATGTTATACTTCGTGGCTCAAACAATATCTCACTGTACAGACGAGATTACGCAAAGTTAAATGTAATGTTTGAGACTCTGAGTCATGAAGAAGGTGGAAATGCTAACCTCACTGTAGACAGTGATGATCAGATCTATGTTAGCTACCAGAAAGCCCAGAAGATCCAGGCATTCGCACCAGGAGGTGGGAAGGCGATCAGGGAGATACCATGTGATGGGTATACACCTAAGCAGAATACTAGTTATAATGATTACCTGATCACCAAATCCTTGAAGACAATACGATTGATTGACAAACAAGGTGTTGTAAAATATGATTTAGAGAAATTAGGTGTTAACCCACATGCTGCTGTATCTCAAGGGAATACAATCCTGATTGCCACGGTGAAGCACGATGTAGGTTCAGTCAGCATTGATGAGTACACTAACGAGCTGAAGCATGTTCAGAACCTTGTCTTCGATTACGAGATTGAGAAGCCTGAGAGAGAGTGGTACTATCTCCAGCAGTACCGATCAGGAGAGATCGCTCTCTGTACTTCTGATAGGCTCTATATATTCGACAGAAAATAATGGATGACTCCCCATTTATTGCACTGTATGATACCACTGTCTTCAGGCCCGTAGGTAGAAAGGCGGTGGTGGTACGATATGTGTGACCAGACCTCTATTTTCTGGTCAAAACAGGCAAGCTGAAAAATTTAGGATAACAGAACATTTCCTTGAAATGTGTGTGTGTGTGCGTGTGTGTGTGTGTGTGTTAGAGAGAACAAGAATGTGGGTCTATTATGTAAGTAAGCGAGTGCGTGTGTGTGCTTATATTAGTTTTATTTGTTTTAGCTTCTTTGTCAAATATCTATACAAAAATTCACCTCGTATCGCCAAAACCAAAAATAAAAAATAGAAATACATGTTTCCTCTGAGAGGCATGTTTTTCTGTGACTTCATAAAGTAATAATATATAATATCCAGTGGAATCAATTATATTCTTAACTGGATGAAATGGATTTTTGGTGAATAATTAAGAAATGACATTCCTAGATCATGCTCGATTTGAATGCTTGCACATTTCTAAAATATAACAAGTAACCTATCTTTTAACATACTTCTGATGTGTTTATTTTTCAAGATTTTGTTATGAAACAGTTCATGATTACTTTACATGTGGATGTGACTTTTTTGGTAGCTGTTATAAATGTATAAATGATGTAGACACAATGTAATTATCGCGGACTAAAATATTATTTTACAGTAAGGGGTAATCATCCAAATAATGAAATATTGTATATATTGCTGTTTTTGTTTTATTTATTTTATCCAATGCATTTCAGATCACTGTCTGATTAATCAAACTAGATTTTTCTTCCACAGAATCATGAGGAGATATGCCATTTTTCATAATAATTTCTACTTCTTACAATTTCTATAGTTTTGTGCTAGAAGGTTTAAGAGTTTTGAAAGTCGACATATTGATTGTATGATATATGTTGTAAAAATATTGTTAAAGCAAATAACAAAATAAGGGTTTATGTTTGAATATGATTGACTGTGATATCTTGTATTTTGTTTTTAATAATTACTTTCCGTCTGGCAAAGTACATGGGAAAAATGGCATGGGTCTTGTCAAAAATACCCGATTCATTTATTCCCTTTTTGGAGATATTCCATTTTGTCTGTGTTTCCATTTAGAGCAAATGGTCTTTATTAGTTTTGAGAAAAATCTGAAAAGTTATGACTTTACATTACTCTTTGTTCACTTTGTACAAAAGATTTCTTTACACATGAAACAAATACCATGTTAATATGACTTTTTTGGTAGCTGTTATAAATGTATAAATGAAGTAGACACAATGTAATTATCACGGACTAAAATATTATATTACAGTAGGGGGTAATCATCCTAGTAATGGAGGTTTTATGTATTGCTGTTTGATACATTGATTAAAAAAATAAATATTATCCAAAGCATTTCAGATCACTGTCTGATTAATCGAACTAGATTTTTCTGACACAGAATCATGAAAGGATATATATGCCACTTTTCATAACGATTTCTACTTCTTAAAATGTCTATAGTTTGTACTAGAAAGTTTAAGAGTTTATTAAACGAATTCGTTTTCACTGAGTGCCTGCGATAGCAACATGCAGAATTGACAACAGACTTAACTCCGTTTCGTTGACAATCAGCCATGTATGGAGTCTTTCGTCTACTGCTGACTGCAACGAAATGGAGTTAAGTCTTTTGTCAACTCTGTTTGTTGCGACGGCAGGCACCCAGTGAAAACGAATTCGTTTGATAAAATTATGGAAATGCAAGCACTACTTCAAACAAACAGAACTTTGTCATTCCTTGCTCATTTTTCCTGATTGAGGTGTCATATGAAAGGGCAGAATCTCAACTTTCTAAAAATGTGATTTCCTCCTTGAAACTCAGATACCATCCGCCAAATGACTTTTTGGTTTCCTCTCTTCAAATTCATTTTAATCACTAATGCGTGAAATATGTATTATATGAGTTGCATCAAATGAAAGAAGGGAATCTAAGCTTTCCAAATATGTGTCATTTAGCAATTATAAATGTGATTAAGTTATGATAAAACATCGATAATTCTCGGTTTCGTTTTTCTGGGACGCACTGTATATTGTATGTACAGTAAATTGTTTGATGTGTTTTATGAGAAGTGGAAATAAATTAAATGTAAAAAAACCCTAACAATTAATTTTATCAAATTTCGTAGCGGGGAGGGGGCGTGCAAGCGCGTACAAAAGGAGCAGAACACTAATTGGCATGGGATCCAGGAAGTCGAGCCCCAAGAAGTTCAGGGGGTTTTATGCATTAAATTACCGTTAGATGAGCATGTAGGGGCCGCCTTAGGGCCCTAGGTGGGGTCCATGGGGCAGAGCCCCGGGAAGCTCAGGGGTTTTAGGCATTTAATCACGGTCAGATGAGCATATTTTGTGGCACTGGCAGGTCACTGTTCTTCTTTTCTTTCTATCTTTCTTTCTATTTCTCTAGAGGCAAGGGCCTTTTGCCCCCCCCGGTCCACAAATTGTTGGCGGGAAAATTGCATCTGAAACACCCCCCTTCTTTTCTTTTCTTCTTCAGTTTATTACCTCCCCTTTATCTCCTCTTTTCCCTTTTTCTTTCCCTTTCCTCCCTACTCTCTTATTTTGTTATGGGGGAGGCAAGGCCCTTTCGCCCCCGATCTCCTTTCCTTTTTTCTCTTTTCTTCCTCTTCTTTCTTTCCCTTTCTCTCCTCTTTCCCTACCCCTTCTTTCCCTTCTCTCTCTCTTTTTTCCGCGGGGGGGGGGGGGGGGGGGGGGGCGCTCGCCCCCCCTTTGATCCGCGCCTGCAAAGACCGAAACATAGTGACGGGAAAAGAGGTAATTGAGTTTAAATGTCTGTCATTTCCAAAGAAACGCAGTGACATTGCAATATTTTATTTTACATTGTCGTATATAACTATATAAGGCTCACTCCCAGACGATTTTTGAGGCCTTGTTTGTATCTGGTTCATAAAATCATTATTTTCCTTAAATCGAAACAGTTGAATGGTCTGGTCCATATCTTAGAGGTGATTAATCGAAAGGAGTTGAGCTCAGATCAGTGATAATGATGGGTGTTTATGAAACGATATCAATTTGGTACACCATGAACAGGGGATTATCCCTATATTGTGGAAAACTTCTACCATTGTACCAATGCCCAAAGGGAAAACCCTACTGAAATGAATGATTTTAGATCAATAGCCTTGACATGCAGCATCATGAAATGTTTTGAGAAAATCATTTTGAAATGCTTGTTAAAGCAAACTTCATCTCACCTAGACCCCATGCAATTTGCATACAGACAAAACAGGGGTGTGGAAGATGCAGTTTCGTTTCTCTTGCATAAAGTGTATTCACACTTAGATACTCCTAGGTCGTACATTATATCAGCTTTTATAGACTTTTCCAGTGCATTCAATACCATCATTCCCCACATGCTTTCAAGGAAGTTAATACAAATGAATGTACACCCACGGGTTATCACGTTGATTCATGATTTTATGTTGAATAGGCCCCAGCGTGTGAAAGTGGGCCACATCGTTTCTGACGATCGGGTAGTTAGTACCGGAGCGCCTCATCAGGGGTGTGTATTATCCCCAGTGCTATTTTCACTGTACACTAGTGACTGTGTTAGTACGGATGCCGATTGTACTATCATCAAGTACGCCGATGACACAGTCATCACAGGATACCTCTCCGGTGATGCCAACTGTTATTTCGCGGTGCTTGATTCTTTTGTGAAATGGTGTGACTCACATTTCTTGCAGCTCAATGAATAAAAAACTAAGGAAATGATCGTAGACTTCCGTAAGAATGTACAGGATGAACATGTACCTCTCACCATACATGATGATGTAATAGAACAAGCCAAGGAATATAAATACTTGGGTACTACCATAACAAACAGACTGGATTGGTCAAGCAATGTACATGCCACACAAAAGAAAGCTAATCAGAGGTTATTTTTCTTGAGACAACTCAAGAAAATGCACTTAGATAACACTCTTCTCGTGTTGTTTTATAAGTCGATTATCCAGTCCATTCTCTTGTTTAATTTAATTTGTTTTCATGGCAACCTCACATGTAACAGTAAGAAAGCCCTAGATAGACCACGGAAAATAGCTCAGAGAATCATTGGCATAGCACTGCCCAACATGGAAAAGTTGTATGGTGAAGGTTCACTAGCTAAGATCATGGGAATCATGAAAGATCCAACCCATCCTTTGTTCAGTTACTTTAGTTTCAACAGATCTGGTGTTCGTCTTTGTGTCCCCCGTACTAAGCGGGCCCGCTTTAGAAACTCGTTTGTCCCCGATTCCATCTACATGTTCAATAATAAAGTAATAAGATGAGAGGTTTCCTGAAGGTAATGGGAGGGGGGGGGGGGCGATATCGTTAATGTATTTTGGTACTAAGTATACTTTAACATTTACATTGATTAATATTATTCATACATGAATATTTAAATTAATTATTCAGTTGTCAACGAGTCCATATGATCATATAGTTTAAATGTAAAAGTATGATTTATTGTTCTAAAAAATGTAGTGCTGAGTTTATAATGAGCAATGTGTAACTTAAAATGTGTTAAATTGACCCATGCTCTATATACTGTATATAGTTGTAACCATGTGAAAGAAGAATTTCCACTCAATGTGGACAATAAAACAAATCAATCAATCAATCAAATGACAGGCTGTAAAAATAGGTCTAAACAAAACGGATCTTTGAATTCAGACCACAAGACATTCATGTATTTGACTGTGAAACCGGGAGTAACGTTCGTCGCGTTTGAAAACTTCTAATCATATTGATGTATTTCATATTCAGAATAACTTAACTTACTTAATGAAAACCATGAATTGTTTTTACAAGATATAACGGAATATTGATTTGAATTAAGTTGAATTGAATTGAATTTAGTTATTCACCGACATTGAAACAGTATATATATATATATATATATATATATATATATATATATATATGTACAATGCCAATGTAACATAAATACATGACATGAATAATACATGTTCTACAGCAATATAGATGTACATTATACAAATATTAAAAAACAGTTATAAGTAATTTTAGTGTCAAGAGTAAAACAATAAATGACTATTTACAATGAGTTTGTGATCGATGGTAAAATAGAGTAAAAAAATAACTCATGTGCTAGTCGAGTCTGGCTCTCGTTATGTAAAGCCTGAAATAAAGTTCATTGAAAAATACACTATGTGTTTCCAAATCCTATGAATAAGATTTGTGTATAATGATACAATTTAAAAAAA